GCCCCACATAGACATTTTAATTGCAATCTGTCTGTGGAACTGCTTTGCACAATACCCGAATGACAGACACAGCATTTTAAAGTAGAAACAATGTCTGCTATGGGAAAGAATTTCTAAAATGTCCTTGCAGTAGAACTGTTGCACCATAGAGTACAGTTTTCTGAGTCCACTCCATACCTGCTGAATTAGACTTTCTAGGGTATAGACCAACAGTGTATACCTTTTAAACTAGTTTTAATAACTGCTGTGGATGATGATAAAATGTAGGGTTCGTTAGACTATTTTCTATGAACCCACCCCATTTTGTGAATGGGAACTTCTGTTAACAGAAATCAATTTTCCAGAACTACTTAAAAAAATAGTGTCTAGGTATCATTTTAAAAATCAGTGTCATCTGTGGATTTACTAGTGATGAGTTTTCTTAACTTTCCTATCACGAATTGGCATTACAGTAGAGCTCTTAATTGTAGATTAGCCATAGAAAGTATTCATTAATTTTTTGGCCCCCTTTTCTTGCTTGGCATGCTATAAAAATGTCTCCTGCCACAGAAGTGTCATTATGTATCATACCTAATCTAGCTGTCTTAAACCTTATCCTGACAGTTCATAGAATTTTATAAAAAATAAAGTGCCATGTTTATTTATTTGTTGGCATGCACACTGGCCACTTGACACCGTGCTGTGGCAGGGTCCAGGAGTTGTTTTAGTTGTTTCTCTACTCCCATTTGGAAGAAAAAGATCATTAGCTCTTGATTGGTAAATTCTTAATGTAGCTATATTTCTCATAGTTTATTAAAATAAACCTGTTAAGATTTCTAAATTTAGAATTTTAATGAATATAGGTAAATTTTATCATAATTATGGTAACTAAGTATAAATCATTTTAAATTTATCAGATTATGTGTATTTTCAACATGAGGGCACATAGTAATTATGATAAAACAAATTTCATTTATTTTAATGTATTTCAAGCACTTATGTGTTTATGTCTCATAATTTCAGAGGCAAATAAGAATTGATTAAATTACCTATATTAGGATGAAAAACATATTTTGTACCTACTTGAGAGGTTATGGTGAAGTCTATAAAGAAACAGGACAAGTGGGGCTCATTTTACTTAATTTTATGGATCCCTTGATTTAGTCTGCTCAACCTTAGCATTTATAAAAATTATCTAATTAAGATCTCTTCCTTAAATGTGCATTAAATCTAGGAACCAAGTAATTGCAAGTATTACTAGTTATAGAAATGGAGAAACCTATATTTCTTCATTTTCTTCCTCCTCTTCTTCCCTCTCTCCCTTTTTGACCAATTTCATCTTCTTTCTCTTCTATTTTTTTTTTTGTTTTCAATCTGTCTCAATAAATTATCATGGAAGAATTAGAAGTTAAAGAATAGTTGCCTATGTTCTGCAACTATTATTTGTTCTTTTTATTTTATATAACTCATAGGGAAGTTATAATATAAATGCCCAGCAATTACTATAAACTTCAATATAAAACTTTGTGTATACCATGATCTATTCATGGCAGTTCTCTTCTATGTTTAGAGGAATTTAACTAACATCTAAGTGTTATGAGAAATATTAATAAAATATTAATAGTATTTCAGTTATAGAAATTTTGATAGTTGTGAATATGAAAGAAATTACAGAAATAATTCCTCTTGTGATATGGTGTTCCCATTGTCATAAATAGCCAGTTTCAGTGCAAAAGGAAGTGGCAGTAAGAATTTTGCTGTCACCTGCACCTGAGTACTAACCATAAACTAATTGCCATTGGGTGATCTCCACAGTATCTAGGTAATCGTTTATTAGAATGCAGGTATATTATTTTATGGATAATCACAGTTTTGAAGAAAGGCTATCTAGGTTTGTGAGAAATAGTGCAAATATGGTGATGTCC